TCTCATTAAAGCTACTCTTCATCCGTCTATCAAGCCGATTTTTCGACCTGCTATTACTTGTGAAGCTATTTGGAGTCAGGCAAAAGCATTTGTGACTTGGTAGTCTGAGAAGCAAACATCAGGTCCTACTGCATCCATTGCTCCCACTGGTAATTCTGGTAATTCTTTTGCTGGCATATCTCAGTTGCACTCTATTGGCCCTTGGACTCTAGATTCTGGGGCTTCTGATCACATTTCTGGTAATAAGTCCTTATTCACTTCCCTTTGTACTACTGGTTCTTTTTCTACTATTACTATGGCCAATGGGTCTCTGGTCCAATCAAGGGGGATTGACACGGTTCTTCTTTTACTTAATTTATCTCTGGATCATGTTTTATATATTCCCGATTCTCCTTTTAACTTACTTTCTGTTAGTCGGTTGACCAAATTCATTGACTGTTTTGTTTCTTTTACTAAAACCTCTGTAATCTTTCAGTATCGGAGTTCGGGGAAGGAGATTACCAAAGGATGTGAGTCTCAGGGCCTCTATCAACTAGTTCCCTCTTCTTCAGCCTGCTCCACTGTGGATTCTCCTCTTACTATCCATGCTCGTCTGGGTCATCCTAGTCTTGCAAAGCTTCAGAAGATGGTTCCCCATTTATCATCTCTTTCTACTTTAAATTGTGAGTCTTGTCAGTTTGGGAAACATACTCGTAGTACGTTTCCGAGTCGTCTTAGTCATTAAGTTGTTTCTCCTTTTTCTGTGGTCCACTCTGATGTTTGGGGACCAAGTCGTCATTCTTCTACTTTGGGTTTTAAGTACTTTGTTACTTTTATTGATGATTATTCCAGATGTACTTGGTTATTTTTAATAAAAAAGCGGTCTGAGTTGTTTTCTATTTTTCAGTTATTTTATAATGAAATAAAAAATCAATTTGGTATTCCTATTCATACTTTTCGTAGTGATCATGCATGTGAGTAGTTATCTCATCAATTTCAACAGTTTTTTTCATCTCATGGCATTCTTCATCAAACATCTTGCCCTCATACACCTCAACAAAATGGTGTAGTCGAGCACAAGAATCGCCATCTGGTTGAAACCACTCGTGCCTTGTTAATTGATGGCAATGTTCCATACACATTCTAGGGTGATGCTATACTTACTGCATGCTATCTCATTAATCATATGCCATCATCTGTTCTCAATCATAAGGTACCTCATTCTATTTTATTTCCCCATCACACTTTATATCCTTTAACTCCACATGTGTTTGGTTCTACGTGTTTTGTTCATCATCTTGGTCTAGGTTTGGATAACTTAGCTCCCAAGTCTCATAAATGTGTTTTTCTGGGTTATTCTCGGTCTCAAAAGGGTTACCGTTGCTACTCTCCCACTTTACGTCGATACTTTATCTCGGCGGATGTCTCCTTTTTTGAATCAGTTCCCTTCTTTGGATCCTCTACTACTACTGTGGACACTGATTTTGTACAGTCATCCCTCCCAGGTGACCTTCTTTACCTTCCATCTTTACCCGTTCATGTTTCTGACTCTCCTTCTATCACCTCCTCTGCTGATGAGATCGAGCATAGTTCGTCAGATGTATCTGTGGACTCACATTCAACTGCATCTCCTACCACGGCTTCGGTCCCACCTTCGGATAATGACCTTCCCATTGCTCTTCGTAAGGGTACTCGTGATACTCGCCCTCCGGCCAGGTATACAGTCAATATTAGTTATCATCGTCTTTCTCCATCATACTTTGCTTGCTTTTCCTCTTTGTCCTCTTTATCTGTTCCTAAGACTACATGTGATACACTTTCACATTCGGGATGGAGACAAGCTATTATTGATAAAATGAGTGCTCTTCATCATAATGGCATGTGGGATCTGGTGCCTCTTCCTTCTGGAAAATCTGTGGTTGGTTGCAGATGGATTTATGTTGTTAAGGATATACCTGATGGTCAAGTGGATCGTATTAAAGCTCGCTTGGTGGCGAAGGGTTTCACTCAAGTCTTTGCTTGGATTTTATTGATACTTTTTCTCCTGTGGCGAAAATGTCTACTGTTCGCCTTTTTATTGCCATGGCTGTTATTCGCCATTGGCCTCTCTACCAATTGGATATCAAGAATGCTTTTCTTCATGGTGATCTTGAGGAAGAAATTTATATGAAGCAACCTCCTGGATTTGTTGCTCAGGGGGAGTCAGGTCTTGTTTGTCGTCTCTGTAAGTCTCTCTATGGCCTCAAACAATCTCCACGAGCTTGGTTTGGTAAATTTAGCAGTGTTGTTCAACAATTTGGCATGACTCAGAGTGATCATTCTCTCTTTTATCGTCATTCTGCTTCTGGATCTATTTATCTGGTGGTAAATGTGGATGATATTGTCATCACAGGCAGTGATCGGCATGAGATCACTCGATTGAAACAACATTTATGTCATCATTTTCAGACTAAGGATCTTGGGAAACTTCGATACTTCTTGGGAATCGAGGTGGCCCAATCTAAAGCTGGTGTTGTGATATCTCAGAGGAAATATGCTCTGGATATTCTTGAAGAAACTGCTCTGATACCATGTTAAATAACGAGAGAAAAGAAATGAACATTTGAAATATTTATGTGTGTATCAACTGGTGAATGATTACAATATATAAACAAACTAATGGGTTAAGTCCAAACCTAATGTAATCAGACCTAATACAAAATAAGGAAACCCTAATTACAATATATTTCTAACATGTAGAAAACTTTGTGTGGTCATTTTAAATGATAAATGTAAATCTCATATATTAATAAATTATTCCGACTTCCTTTGAGTTTGGCCTAAACTGCCTGATTTTGTTGTAGACACAGTCAATCTTCCTTTTGGAAGAAAGAGCTTGCAGCGACCAATTGAAACGTCTTTTTTTTTTTTTTAAGTATAGCAGAGGGGCAAATAGCTCAAAGAAAACTACAAAGCAAAAGAATCTGAATCCAAAATAGGATTCAACACAGGGAGCATAAAACAACAAAATCTGAAACGTCTTAAATTGATTGTGTCAGGCATTGTGCTTGGTAAGATGATACATGGAAGAGCGTCTCTTCTAATTTTTGTCTTTTCACTATACCAATGTTTTCTAAGATTCTTTTTAACAAAACTTAACAAATGGAAATAAGTCGTTTAACTTTTATTTGAATTAAAAAAATAACTGTAATGTTTCTTGAGTGATAATGGAATAGAGCTACCTCTCTATCGCGTTATGAATGATATATATCAATGTGTGGGTGTTCGAAGTAACATGGATATAGACCAAAGTCCAAGGGAGACCGTGTTATCTCATGTGAGGTTTAAAGAAGAGGGACTTTAAAATTTGGCAAAATAACAACTCTTCCTGTGGTGAAGAAGGATATATATATATATAAATGGAAAATATCCCCTCATGGTAAGAGAGAGAAGAGGCTAGACGTTTGTCCAATTTCTTACTTCATCATCAAGGAGTTGCTTTACAATTATGGTAAGTCGTAGTGAGTATATAAGAGAAAAGTGTGTGTTCTTTTAAAGGACACACTCATATTATTTTAAGAGCGATAAATGACTAAACTAGGGGAAGGAGAGTGTGAAAGAAAAAGTTTATAATTTAAATTTTAAAAAACACATTATCTTTATCTAAAAGGACCATCCTTTTAAATAATAGCCATTTTTTCTAAGTATATAATTATAATCCCTTAATTGGTCTTTACCATTGACCCAAATATAATGGTTTATGAAGGCCGGTCTATCAACAATTCCAAAAGAAAAATATTATCAGTACTTATTGTCTAGCCCATTAATTAGTGTGCTCTGTCATTCAGATATTCATCGTTTAAACCAATGTTATTAAAATCGACCGGTCTATTTCAAGCAATATATCAGACATATCATTGACCCTATATCAATTCGGTAAACTGGTGAAATAAAAATCATAACACTTACGACTAGGTTAGATTGTTAGTTAATTTGCATAATTTAAAATATTTATTATATAATTAAGTATAATATATATATATATATACGAAAAAATGTTTCTGCAGTTAATGCAGATAAGTTATTTGCATTTATTTTCAAAACAATATCGTTTTGATATTGAAATCTTAAAAAATTATAAATATAAAGACTATTAAAACCCTGAAATAAATTAAAATTACAAAAACACCATGATTTCCGCCCAAAACGACGTCGTATTAGGCTTACTGCAGATAACTTATCTGCAGTAACTGCAGAAAAAGCTAGCCCATATATATATATATATGGAAAAAGTATTTTTGCAGCCACTTTAGATAAGGTTATCTATAGCTACTCTTTTTTAACTAAGTATAACGGGTCATACTTAATTATAACAATACAGCTGTTCTTTTTTTCTCTTTCCTCAGATATTGTCGGCTGACGTGGCGGAGAGAGAAAATACAATTTTAAAGTATTACCGGTCATACTTAGTAAAAAAGAAATAGTTGTAGACAACCTTATCTAAAGTGGCTGCAGAAATATTTTACCCTATATATATATATATATATATATATATATATATATATATATATATATAGAGAGAGAGAGAGAGAGAGAGAGAGAGAGAGAGGTAGGATCCTTTGACACCAGTGTCAAATTTCAAATTTGACACCTCATCTGAGAGCTGTTAGATCAAAAAAGATCAACGACTATGATTTGCAAGTATGTGACACCGTTGATCTTTTTTGATCTAATGGCTCTCAGGTGAGGTGTCAAATTTAAAATTTGACACTGGTGTCAAAGGATCCTGCCTCATATATATATATATATATATATATATATATATATATATATATATATATATATATATCTTAATCATGCGGTTAAATCAATGATCTACTGATCCAATACCCGACCGAATTGATGACCGGTTTGGATTTAATAATATTGATTCAAACCATACTAACAAAAAAGAGAACCATTGTATACCAAAAAAAAGAGAGAATCATTGACCCCAAAATTCGTTGGGCATTTCATCAAACTATATGTATAAATAAGGCGGTGTCAGAGTCATCTGATGCTGAGAAATGATATTTGCATATATACTTATCCACTCACTAATTATTAGTGAACTAATTTGAACTTCCAGAAAAAAATTGAAGTTAGTTTATAAGAAATTTATATCGAATTTGTTTGTGCAACTTCCACTTTAAAATTTTGCTTCCATTTCCGATTCTCATGGTGTCAAATAATGGAAGAATCATTACCCCATAAAGACGGAAGCTTCCTTCTGTAACGCAAAATTATGGAGAACCAAAGCCCAAGAAAAGAACTAGGAAAATTAATCAGGAAGCTGCTCAGAATCATGAGAAACTTTCTTTTTGCATAAATGACGAGAACATAATTTTCATAATCAGCTTTCTTTTCTTTTCCTACGCTTTTGGGTTGAAGGACTATCAGATTCAGATGTAGAATCAAGGCCAAGACATTTGAGAAATGCTAGTCTGGCTAATTTGAAATAATAGCAAGGGTGGAGGAAATACAATGATGAAGCCTCCCCCACTGCATTCTCTTCTCTCACTATCCCTGTGCTTGCGCTTGTTTCTATCTCACCTTTAACACTAAGGTTCTCTACCCCCTGCCAAAATACTTTGGGTCAGTGCATATGCTAATTAACAACATGTATATATCAAGGAAAAAATATTTCTGCATTTAGTTTAGATAACATTATCTATAGCTACCCATTTTTTATTAAATCTGACCAGAAAAACATAGTTATAACAATAAAATTGTTCTTTTTTTCTCTCCTCAGACATTGTCGGCGGACGTGGTGGAGAGAAAAAATATAATTTTTTATGTATTACTGATCAGACTTAGTTAAAAAGTGGTAGCTGTAAACAACCTTATCTGAAGTAGCTGTAAAAATATTTAACCCATATATCAATCACTTAAAATTGTTTTTCTAATTAATCATAAGATCCAGGACTTCTAGCAATAAAAAATAAACAATAGCAATTAGCAAATACAACTCATCAAAATGATTTATTATTCCCTAAATAATAATTTAAAAAGGATGGCAACAACTTTTTGAACACAGACAAGGTGATTTATTAGTTGTCATTTTGGATTTATTAGTTAAGCAGTGGGGGTTGAATGTCCAAGCATACTGACAAAGGATGTTGTTCACTGTTTAGCAAATTGGTATATGGAACCCTTCAGACTTCAGCAAACATGATCACCAACCCTTTGGGAATTAGATAGAGTAATGAGAATTGCTAATATAACCGACAGATAAATATCTAATAGAGAGAAATCCGTTATAAGTTTTAGTACTTTATACTAAGAATAAATCATATAGAAAGGTCAAATTTGGAAAGATCTAATATAACTAGAACTACACATTCATCGTAACAGAACCAGATAATCTTGTTGGGCAGCATAAAATGGACGGTTAGAACTTAGAAAGGTCAAAACTGAATTTTTCTGCGTAACATTTTTGGATAGAATTACAACCTGTGTTGTCGAAAAAGAAGTAAAAATTAAGGGTCGTACCCTTTTTTCACGACAGTTTACATGAATATATTCGGGACCAAGAGGTCAATGGTTTATAATACATGGTATCTGAAAGAACCCAGTTTTGCATATTATTCAAAATGGTAAATCATAGTTTGAATATGACAATTAGAACCATTGAAGGTGGAAACGAGATACAAGTCAATGAAAAAAAGATACGGCCTACAATAAATTCATAAAGTGGGGGGCCAACAGTGGGGTGTGGGGTGGCTGTTATAATTCGAAGTATGAAATCAGATAAATTACAACAAAATAATTAGGAATTTAGTCAATTTAATTTCTTCTCCTAATTAGAATATAGAAACCTTTTTTCCATACCAAACTCGAAGGTTTTTCAACCTTAAAATTCCCCAAATCAAACCTACCCCAAACAAATCAGTGGACCCCTTCAACAGCAGTGGTAGCTCCATTCCCCATTTCCAATTCAGAGACCAACTAGCCTTAAAGGCAAAATCCAATTGAATGATTTAGTTAAAGGATGATGATCATAAACAACCCACTAATATACTCCCAGAAGAACAATAACTTTATGCAGTACATGATTATCCTCAATATCATCTAAATTTCTCAATAATAAAAAATGTTTTGAACTTTAACCAATCAATAAGAAATTGTCAGAAGACATTAAAGAATCAAAGAAAAGAAAACCAATATATCTAAAGTCAAAATCTTGGATTTCTTCGAGTAAAAGAAATTTCTTATCTTTACCTTCTTTCAAAAGGTAAAAAAAAAGGATTGAGCAAGCAAGACGCTATCTTTTTGTGTTAGGAGGCATGATAACCCAAAAGGGTAAAAGAAAAAGAAAAGAAAGAAAAATGGGGTGTACCCGCGTGTTGAGAAGAGGGTTGGTTACAGAGCTGGAATGGTTGTTGTGAGTGGTAGATGCAGAAGCAGCAGTGTCGTGTGAGGAGGGATCAACAGGAATGATGGTGAAGGAAAAGAGGAGAGCGAAGAGAAGAAGAAGCAACACCATGAGTTGAATCCATATGAGCCATGGGATTCTGTAACCCTCTAAGGTGAACTCGTCCCCAAAATTCAACATATTATGTAATTGATTAGGGAGGGGACAACCAAGAGCGTGTGGAAAAAAAGAACAGCAAATGTTTTGGCTTGGGAGTTTTAGTACACACGGACGGAACAAAGGATCAACGGTGTCTTGAAAAAGGAAAAAAAAAATTAACTACACGCGCTGGCAGATTAATGGTGACTTTCCAAGGTGAGGAACGTAGAAAGTAAATAAGATTACAGCGACGGAGGTTTCACGCATATTTCCACACGCGCGCGTCCTTAGAGCCGCCGCAACTTGCTGCAAATTGTTATCACACTTGTTTTTTTTTTTAAATAAATAAATAAATAGTTATGACACTTGTTAATAGGTCATTCGTCAACATAGATAACAAATTAGCTAACAAAATAAAATAAAATAAAATAATTTATTAACCAAAATATAACATTTTACTGAATTCAAAAAATTTCTAAAGCATCATATGTCAAAGAGATTCAGCACCAGCTGGTTCATCAATTGGGTAATGATTAACTATTCACATTAGCAATTTTTCCTTTAAAAGCATCATATGAAACGGTCTAAAATAGAATACAAAATCCAGAGGATCACTGAGTTGTTTCCTGAATGCATGCATTATGTTGACATCCACGGTTGGTGGCTTGAGGAATATTATTGCGGCCGCCTCCAGTTATAGTTTCTATACCTAAACTATATGATGTTATTGTAATAATATGGCAAATATAATTAATCCATTGAATCAAGCTGAACTAGATGATGATCAAATTAATTACGTCTTTTTTAGTTTGAGCTGTTGTAGCATTTTCCCATATTTTTCTATCAAAGTTTCTGTGGCTAGAAAGAGTCAGATAACTTAACAGTGATGCTACCAATACAATTGCATTCCATCCATGTTTAATTAATTGTCTCCCACTACATTTTCTATTAAACTCTGATACAAACATACAAGTGTATCTAAAATATGAGAGACTTGTGATGAATCAGAATCTCCCTCAAGTGACACCCAGTAGGCAACTAAAGTGTCGAGTAAAGCTCATGGTTGCCAATGCATCAGAACATTGGTTAATGGTTATCATCCCCAAAAATATTCTGAATTTTAACTTGCTACTAAGTCAGCATGCTCTTAATTTCTAACTTTCTGAATTATGCAGTACTTTGTCCTGCACCTGTTGTTAGTAAAGTAACCAGAAATTTAGAGTCAAATTCTAGCTGAATACACCTATATCCCCGTTTCCAAGTCAGTTTAAGACTTTCAAATGCACCCCTAACCTATAAATCCACAAAAATTTTAATTTTTTTCTACACTAGTTCTAATAATAAACCATAACAAACCCAATAATTTAAATAAATTCAAATCCGACATAATAAATGAATGAAATATAAAGATTTGTGTATTTACTATAAGGGGTTTGATTTTCTCATGTTGTAACTCAACTAATGGTAGTTCTCACATTTATTAAAAAGAAAAAAGGAAAAAAAAATTACACGCAGATCGAAGGGTCACAACATGAGAGTTGAATTCTTATGCAACATGAGAAATTTTTTTTTCCTTATTATAATATGTAGGTGTGGGTACTATAGTATTTATTATAAATATAGACTTTACCTAAGGCAAATATTTTTTGCTTGTACCCATTAGATATGATTGCAATTATCACTCCTAAGTAAAATTAAAAAAGTTAACCACTCTTAAAAACAATGTATTCTAATTTAAAATGTAAGATTGTATAACAAACCATGTGAAGGTGAGACATGCTGTTATAGTTAGAGTTGGAATTTAGTCATTTTGTGGTGCATTTTTTATTATGATTCCACTTTGGATTGACCAACGAGGTAGGTGAAAGAATTACGGGAGTAGTTGGTAAATGGGAAGCTCACCCGAGGACAAAAATCAAAATTAAGGGTAAATTATTTGTGAGCAAATCACCGGTTATTATTTCATAATTGTGTGTCTAAATATTATTTTCTTTCTCATTTATAATCAAGTTGATTTGTCTATAAATAATTAAAATATGAGATCAAATCAACTCCATGTAAATTTAAATTAATTGGGTCGAGTCGTTAAAAACATGTTTATTTTTAAAAAAAGTAAAACTTAAAAAATAATAATAAATAAGATATACTTTGGCAGAAATTCCAGGACGTGTTAAAGTGGACCCAGAATTTCAAAGCAACGATCCTGAGGTTGCTTATCAAGCTTATGTAGTTATGTTATATTCAATGTTGGCCAACTATGTGCGGAAGGAACAAACAGTTTAAAGTTAGATAGTTTAATCAAATGGAGGTAGTTCAGCTGGTGCACATGAGTTAAGCAGGTGGAAGTGAGAGCATGTGTTCGAATCTCTTCAATACCACATTTGGGAGGGGTTTAAAACATTAATTCTGAACCAACCCTAAATCGGATTAGTTGCGAAGCAATGAACCGATTAAAATATAAAAGGAGACTAATAAAACCCTTAAATAAATAAAGAAATATGGGTTCCACTTTCAATATTCCTTTTTTTTTAGGAAAAAAAGCACAGTATTAATTTTGCTTATTTCAAATTACGGAATGGGTAATAAAAATTTGTAATTTTATAAAATTATAATTTTTATTACGAATATGTAGTATTTATTAAGGAAAAAAAGTTTATTCTTCTAAATAACATAAGTTGTATCCTTTTAATTTTTAACACTATATACTACGAGTAATATATAGTTATAATATAAAAAATTATTTTTTTCTTTCTCCTCAATCAATTCAGCTCATGTGGAGAGAGAAAAAAATAAATTTTCATGTTATAACCTCCAAAGCACGGACACATTACTTTTAAAAAAAATTGTGTGTCCGACACGGACATGTTCGACACGCTCGGACACGCGGTCAACATTTGAGGACACGTGGTCAACTCTCCGACACATTTTTCGACACGCAGTCAACTTTTTTCGACACGCGGTAAACGTTGAGACACGCTCGGACACGTTTTTTTTTTTTTTTAAATCTTAATTTTATTTTGTTAACTAAATATAAAAGAAATAATTTGTAAATTAATTTTTTTCTCTTATGAAATTTGACATGAAAAATTAACAAAGTACGAAAAATTATTTATATTTATATTTATGTTATGAAATTTAAATATTTGATTGGTTATATGACTTATTATGGACTCTTATGTATTAAATATAAATTATATTATATATATTAAAATTTTTATTTAATATCAAAACGTGTCTCAACGTGTCAAAATATACATTTTTTAGAATTAACGTGTCGGCGTGTCGTGCCGTGTCCCATGTCTGTGTCCGTGCATCATAGGTTATAACTACGTACTAGTGTTTTAAAACTTGGATCGATCATCAACTCGGTCGCTGAGTCATTGGTTCAACCGGATATACTGTTCATATATTAAAAAATATATAAATATATTACTTAATTTAAAAATTCGCAGAAGAAAACTATCAATAATGGGAACTTCTCCATATTACAACCATTAATAAAATGGCAATCCATTATGCAGCAAGCAAAAGGTACCCAAGAAATATTATTTCAAGCTTATTGGGTTATATGATATGCGTTCAACATATGATGCTTTCTGACTTAAAAGAAGCAAGGAATTAATCATAAATGTCTGAAAATAAGTCATAAATGCAAGAAATATTGATTATTCTTTCTCAATCATTCTCTCACTCAATTTATGTGTTTTAATAGCAGGAAACACCAAAAAAGAAATGAAGGAGAGAAGTGCAGTTTTCCTACCTGGCGCACTTTGCGCGGGACTTGGCGCAAAGTGCGCCATTTGGTTCAATTCATCCCTGTATCCTGGCGCACAGTGCGCTGGATGTGGCACACAATGCGCGGTCTTGGCGCACTTTGCGCCCGCGCAAAGTGCGCCATTTGACAGTTTTCCCTCTGTTTTCTCATGCAAAGTGCGCCAGAGTTGGCGCAAAGTGCGTGGGCGATACTTTTCAATTTTAATCTGATGCGAATTACTCAAAAAGGAGGCTCAATTGGAGAGAAATTGAAAGTAGGTTTTCCCAAAACCTAATAAAAGTATCAGAAACAGAAGAATGAAGAACTTTTTGACAACAAGGAAGATAAAAACAACAAAGAGTGAGAGAATTCTTGGGAGCTTCTTGGAGTTTCAAAGATTCGAACGATCAAGACGGAAGATCTTCATCTTCTTTCTCTCCTCTGGGTTCTGAATTTTATTGTCTTTTGTATTGATTTTGTCAGACATGAATATGTCTGTCTAGTTTCATTATTGTGGTAAGGGTCACAACCCTTGATGTGAACCCCTTGTAGTTTGGTTAATTTTTATATTTAATTATTCCAATCGCATTTATTTTATCTTGTTCTTCATATCATAATTCTTCTAGAACGCATCATTCTATTAGGATTGCGAGGATTAGGGTTTTCAATAGGGATATTGAGATTCTAGTTCCTGACAGGAGGTAGGATGATTGTTCATGTATGCACTAGGGATAGGCTACATGAACCGCAAACGTGAAAGATTCACTGATTTGAAGGCTTAATAAGGCAACCACCTAAGATTCACTGATTAGGGTTTGATCGAATGCATAATTGAATGTAAACATTAACTCAGGTTACAAGGTGGGGATCATAAAGGTGTTGGCGTCTCTTTACCGCAATATTTTCTCAACCTTTACTCTTTTATTCTTCAGTTTCTAAAAGAACCTTCATATTATTTATATTTTCTTGAACTGTTCTCATTATTTCACAAACCACAATTGTCCTTAAACCATTTTTATTAATCCAAAAAGAGAGGAATAGTTCTAATAAATTCGGTGCCTCAATCCTCGTGGAGACGATACTCTAGTTATCATTTTATTACTTGGAACGGTCGGTACTCTTGCCGATTATTCACAACATTATACTGCTATACTTCAAAAGGCCAAAAAAGATTGTAATTTTCATTGCTTAAAGCCAAAGTTTATGTAAAAGTTTATCTAATCACTATTGTATGATGTAGGCTTTTAAACAAATGATGAGGTGCACTGCATTAATAAAAGAAAAAGGACTCATAACACCCTTATAGCTACCAGAAACGACCATAGTCATTTTCAACCAAAAAAAAAAATGTCAAACTCCT